TAATTTACTTTACTTTACATTTTGCATTCAGATTGTTTGGTTGAGAAATATAATTAACATGCTTTTTCATTTGTGAAGAAAACACACACCATAATTTTCTAAATGTATTAAATTTAATTATCAATAAGAATTGTTTCTTATCATTCAAATGTCAAATAATTATTTGACAAGTTAATATGTTAGTCCATAGCCAGTATTAATTTAAAAATCTCTTAGAGAAGTGATTGCAAACACACGTTTTGCATGTTTCCTTCCAGTCATTATCAATATATCTTATGATTTTTGTTGGGCCAACATTGGGCCTGTATAGAACTCACATTTGAATAGTCTTAAAGATTTTACGTTGGGCCAACATTAGGCTAACGTAGAATACCCTAGGAATTTTGACTGATTTTATATTGGTTGATATATACATATATACATAACGGAATTAGTTGATGTTGGACCAACGTTGGGCCAACGTAAGAATCCCTTGGTTGTGGTACTCTTTTCAATTAGGCCTAGGGTAAAACAAACAATGGGCCAGCATTGGGCCAACGTAACGCTCCCAACTCATGCATATCGTCCTTTCGTTTGGGCAAACGTTGCACCAACGTACTCACACTAACTAAAAGAAAACTTAAACAGACAGTCAAGCTTACATTGAGCCAACGTTGGGCCAACATACTGTTACCAGATTAAATTATCAGTTGCATTACAAACGTTAGGCCAACAATGGGCCAACTTTGAACCCCCAACGTCCTTAAAATATGTTGGTTAATCTATGTTGGGCCAACATTGGACCTATTTAAATTTCCCAACAGTATTCCAACTGGTATTGTGTTGGTTGATCTACGTTGGGCCAACGTAAACCCAACGTAGAAAACCCAACTTCATTCTGACTAGGTTTTAAATTAATTATTTCATGTTGGGCCAACATTGGGCCAACGTAGAATTCTTGATGTCATTTTTACCTTCGGTTAACATCGGTTTACCTATGTTTGGCCAACATTGTATCATTGTTATACACCAAACTCAATATTATAAAATTTCTAACTCAATAAGTCTAACGTTGGGCCATTAATGGCCCAACGTTGTACACCCAACGCCAACCATCTGCCTACAACCCAACCACTTGCCAACGTTGGCCCAACATAGTCATGCTATCTGGGATAGGTCCGTGTTTGTCTGTGGCGCCCTCTAATGAAAAGATAACCGGAGCAGGTACCTTATTGCAGTGTGTACCGGCCTAAAAACATCAATTCGTAGTATGCAGTTCTTGATCACTATTGGATATGGAAAACACATAACTACGGAAGCCCGATAGTGCAAACCAAAAATAAATATAAACAAAAACGAAATTATTACATAAAGAAAACGAAATTATTAAATAAAGAAAAACGAAATTATTAAATAAAGAAAACGAAATTATTGAATAAAAAGCAAACGAAATTATTAAATAAAGAAAACGAAATTATTAAATAAAGAAAACGAAATTATTAAATAAAAAACTGAAACTAAAATACGGAATTTATAGATGTGCATGGTCTAATTTAATAATTTCGTTTTCTTTATTTAATAACTTCGTTTTCTTTATTTAATAATTTCGTTTGTCTTTTATTTAATAATTTCGTTTTCTTTATTTAATAATTTCGTTTTATTTATTTAATAATTTCGTTTTTTATTTAATAATTTTGTTTTCTTTATATAATAATTTCGTTTTTTGTTTCTTATTTTTTTTGGTTTGCACTATTGGGCTTCCGTACATAACTCTTTAAAAACAGATTTTATAAATCATTTACCGAATGAAAATATTTAGATCTATTTCTTGCATGCTTAAATTGACAATATTGTAAATGCATGGACACTGGAAGTTAATGTAAATAAATAGTATGTGCATGTATAAAATCATGGTGCACAAGCATCTGAGCACCTCGTATCACTATATAATTTATATTTCTTTTTAAAAAGATCAATATACACTGTAATTCAAAAAAGGAACCTGTGGTCAATATCAATTTTAAAAAAGAAACCTGTGGGCACAGCTCCCCCCTCCTCCCACCCCCCCCCCCAGGTCAGGTCATTTCTCTCTAAAACTTTGTCTCTCCTAGGTTATTTCTCTCTTCTACCATTTCACGGTAGGTCATTTCGCCCCATTTTTAATCTGGTCTAATAAAATTATTACAACTCCATTCTTGTGTTATTAACTCTCCTACCTAGGTCATTTCACCCCATTTTTAATCTGGTCTAATAAAATCATTTACAACACCATTCTTGTGTTATTAACTCTTATCTGGTCAAATAAATTAATTTAATCAATTTATGACTCTTATAAAACTGAACGAGAGGAAGTCTGCTGGTATCTTATTTACGGGAAAAAATGATTAATTTTTTAATAAAAACAATACATTGATACCGTTGCCCAGCCCTTGCAACGTGGAGGCCTCCTCCTTAAGGGCCATAATTTTGAAAGAAAAATTTAAAGCCAAAGTTAATAAATGTATTAAAATCATCAATCTTTACCTTAGCCGATAATGAAATTAAAATTTGTCTTTGAACAGAATGTTATATAAATCAAACTCGAAACCAAAGAAAAAATAATACCTGTAATAATGTTACATTTATCGATTGATTTCATAATAGCGAAACATGTAAGTGCGAATAAAAAATAAAACAGTTTCGAATTATATTCTGTCACTCTAAATCTTACGACAAAAAGGAGGAAAATAGATCTCACATAAAATAAAAATAATTGTTAGAAAAAAAGATACTAGTATTTTAAGAAACCAAAAATGTAAATATTTACAAGGTTTTTAAGTAATTGTACATTCTTTACACTAAAAAAAGATAGGAACGCGAAGAAAACAAAAACGTAAAAAAAAAAAAAATTGCTACTTATATGAGAAAAAACCTGAAATGCAATACTTACATATTTACAACGTATACAATATGTACAAAGTATACCCAAATCTCATGAAACACAATTAATTTAACAACGAAAAAAACAGATTATCTGTAGAAAAAAAAACCCAACAACAACAACAACAAAAACGGATTATCAGATTTCGAAGAGGAATTTACTCAGTGTGGCCATAGACACCTCCACAAATTAATAATTAATATTTTATTTTGTTGCAAGATTTTAAAAATATACCATAAAAATGATTCTTGTATCTCTATAAGAAAAATTATATGAATACCCCCCCCCCCCCATCTCCCCTTTGAATCTAATGTATAATGTATAATCTGCTGTGTATACCACCATAATTTTTTATCCAACCACTCATTAAATAATGCTATTCTAGATATTTTTCCTATAAAAATCGACTTTTGAGCATCCATCTGGTAATAACATTTTGAGGTAGTTCAACATATTAAGTTTACGATTTTCGGATCAAATAATATGGATTGTAATAAATCCTAAATAACTAAGGCAAATCAATTTATGTACTTTCGAGATAACACAAAAAAGCTCAACAGATAAAATGTCTTTTATGAATTGATGCAGTCATATTGCCGAATTTTTCTTCGAATTAATTTAACATATTTCTAAATTGTTATATTTTGAGTACAAACAAAAATATTTTCACAATCATACAATTATGAAATACTTGAGACAGTTTTTTGAAAGGGTAAAGACACATCATTGTTATGTTAGCTAGATCTTTACACTGTTTACATGTACTTACGTCAATTTTATTATTAAGGAGTCATTCACGAGAAGTCAATTATGCACGTACGCAAGAGAAAATATTAATGCAGAAAAAATGTTTGAAACAATCAGGACTTTTTAAAATTAAAACTACATATATGCACATTGATTTTCTGTTTTGAGAATAAACATGTTCAAAAAGGGATACACAAAGTGCTGCATTTCATTTCCGGAATTTTGCATTGCGTTTCCTACATTTTTTGTTTGCATTTCCGACATTTTTTTTATTTTCATTTCTGACATTTATTTCTTTACATTTTTTTTTTTTTTTGAATATTTGGAGGGTACTTTTACGAAAATTTAATGTTAACGAAGTATGTGGAAATAGGATATAAATATTACATTTATTTCAAGCCATATTTTTTGAATAAAAATAATGCAATACACTGAAGAGCGTGCATATATATATATATATATATATATATATATATATATATATATATATATATATATATATATATATATATATATATATATATATATATATATATATAAAGCTTTCGATTTTGCTTCAGTTAATTAATAGCATGAAGAACTTACGAATTGCTGCACATTTAAAAAAAAGTATTGAATAAAATATTTTCCTTTTCAAACTAAATTCTTGAAAAACAAGTTATTAATGACATCCATATGCAATATGTAAAAACAATAATCGGTACATTTTTAAAAACTCAATTCAAATTATGAAATATTTTAAAAGATATAGATTTACAAACATATGTATACACAAATGTCCACATGCAAACGTGTCCCTGAATAAAGTAAATAAATTCAGATGCATGTACATACAATATGTTTTAACAAAACAAATGATAGAGGTACTATGAAATCACTTACTTTACTTATTTTAATTGATGTTTAATTTTTGTTGTTTTCAGGTTACACCTATATTAGGAGACCCACGAGATTATTTTCCCCCACGCAATGTTAAAACTGCAATCAGGACAACTCTCGTTCTCCAATCACGAAATCAAACCTCATTTTTTCCTCTCCCAAACCACAAAAATAGACACCACGTAATATAAGCAAGTGATTTTACCGTATGTTCACAAGTTTCTGAATTAATATTGTTAACGTTTCCTTGTCTATTTCATAATGAGTTTGATATTCTGAGGGAAAAAAATATTGTTGTATATACATGTAATTTTTCTTAAAAGTTTGCTGAAGGTCCTACATAGTCTTCAAAGATAGATTTTCGTATGTCCATTGAGTCTTAACGTCCAGTTGTTGATATTCATTTTTATTCTCAAAGCCAGCTAATTCCTCGTAAAATAATTTATCACTCCTTGTGTGTGCATCAGTATGTACTTCATCTGTTTGTTCTCTTTGGTGTACAAAAGGTCGTTTTATTTCCCTCTGGAATAAGCTGAGGTTCCTTCCTCTACAAACACAACATACATAGATAATAGATGTTTCCTGATACAGATCCATACATTCATATATTGGTGGCCCAAAAAACTACAATGATCTCGTTGCTATTTTTTTCACATAAATCAAAAGCTGTAAAATTATATGAAAATAATATTTTGTATCACTTAAATACAAGATATAAAAGCTAATCACATTTTTGTATTGTTTAAAGATTGCTTAAATCTTCACTACATTAATGACTTTGCTGGTAAGATATTTGTTATTTAATAGTAAGTAAATTAATTCCACATCCATGCATATTACCTTATGAGCTTTATGATTACAACCAATACCAATACAACAATAATAGTAAGGACTGCTGCGATTGAAATCTTCACTGCTAAAGCTCCTGTGGACGTTGTGTCTGACTCTTTTACTTGAGGATATATCCCCTCTTCTAAATAAATATAATAAAATTAAGTACAAGTATTCATTATCCTATTGCTAAATAAATGCATGTATAAAATAGAACATTTAAGATATAATTTATAACAGGAAAAAGATTATTAAACAAAGGATATAAGTGAAAAATATTTGAGTGTCTCAAAACTTTTCATTAAGATCACCCTAGATAAACCGGCAGATTTTGTTCTGGTTTATAGGCCGTCAATAAAATTTCCTGTCATGTCTATCATTATTCGTGAATAGAAAGGTGTTTAATAGATGTTATATATATATATATATATATATATATATATATATATATATATATATATATATATATATATATATATATATATATATATATATCTTCTTCTTAAAATAAACATTTTTTCCCTTTTATTAGACTACGTAAATACTATTAAGATTAAGACATGAAATATGATCCTCGAGTGTCCATAGGGTCAATAAAGTTAAAATCATGCATTCACATGCATGCAAATGAATGTTTTCTTTCGTGGATCTTGATGAAGAGATTTATTAAGAATTTTTCCACTATATATTTCCATATCAAATTTTATCCTCAAGTGTGTCTCACCCTTTCCCCGGGAACATGATTTGTTCACTTTGAAATCTCAATAGCCTTACTCACATATAAGTTTTACTTTTTGGTCCTTACCCACATCTGTTCCGTGTTAACTTTTAAATTAGTAATGGCTCACTTGAGCTTACAACTCAATTAATCTATAAATTGTTAAACTCATGATCCCTAGATTAAAGGTTCAGGGGTCAAAATGGACATAAACATGTATTTGTCATCAATTGAAAATAATTTACATCTTTGGGAATCTTCTTTTCTCTGCGACATTGAAGAGGAGAACTTAACGGTGTTATTACAATTACTAACACTTAGCCCACTATCTAACATTATCATCAAGGTGCCTGTGGGGATAGGGGAAAGGGTTAGCTTGGTAATTTCTCAAATAAATATTACACATTTGAATACTCTCTCTAAAATGCAACCCCAGCAAGAAAAACGTTTTCATGAATATAAATAAAACTTAACCGTCTATCAAAACTAAAAAAAAATTACTGTCATATAATAAGAGGTTCTAAATTATGCTCATATTACGAAATAAACTCGTTTATTAGTCACTAATTGACATGAAATATGAACTTCATGTACACGTTCCTGTGTTGCTTTGTAAAGTCGTTCTGTCAAAGGTTTACATGTAAAAACATCGTTAACATTTTTTGTATGAAACACATGCTGTGTTATTCTTTATCCTCAGTTGTTTGTAAAGGATGGAATCTCTAGCGATATATATGTACTTCTGTAATAGTCTTAGATTTAGTCAAGATAATTTCCCCTAACCTTTAATGCAAGATCCACGTATATGGTGACATGTGCGGTTGCAATTTGTTGGACAAAGATTAGAGCAGTCATCCCCATAATACCCTTCTTGACATGCTGAAAAATTAAAACAATATCAATTCAAATTTTAAAGTTATATATATATATATATATATATAAACTGGAGTTTCAACCTTCCTCAAAAGTAACACTTTCTCCTCGGATTTTTGCAAAGCGTTTTCGATACAGCACTGTGAATAAGCCAGTTTAAACCCATTTCTGATAAAGAACCAGTCTGTGAATCTCTTCTTTTAACAAGGTTTGTTCGCCAATGACCACACTTATAAAACCCAAGATTTTCATTATATCTTGCAATCAAAATTTTTAATAAAAATCCGCATTTCTACTTTAAATGCGTTTTGAAGATATATCCAATATTGTATCAATGTCAAACGCACTTCAAAAAAATATTCCGAATAATAATAAAAAAAAATCCTTAAACACCTGACCACTGTCCATAGTTCCTGCTAAGCCAAACGACTGCCATTTAATGAATGAATGAAACAAAAGAGTTCACTCACTGGTTTTACTGTCTAAAGAAAAAAAAATCTCTTTTCTTTTGTCTACTTATTAGATGGTTTCAGGTAGAAAACTATTGATGCCTGAGCTCCTATTCTGTAATTATCGGACTCCTCCAGGTAATTTTTGGACATTTAAATAGCAATGTTTTAAGAAGACATATGCCGAATACTGTTCTATATGTAAAATTATCAGACTGTTTGAGGCCCGTTAGGGCCGCAAACAGTCTAATAAGTAATGGATATATGCCGAATACTGTTCTATATGTAAAATTATCAGACTGTTTGAGGCCCGTTAGGGCCGAAAACAGTCTGATAATCTATACTACTATATTAAAATAATAGACTCGAATTTTTGGCCTTTAATATCGATTAATCGGAAGAGTACCGTCTTTTATTTGATATATTTTAAACATCATTGGTACTTGAAGATTACCAATTTGTTTTTATTTTTTCTCAATTAAGCTTCGCTAATTAATAATCAACGGAAATTCCTCAAAAAATTCCGGAAATCATCTGGATTTTTTGGATTTTACAATCTTGCGCGTGCGCATTACATTCACGCTAAATCACGGTGTTCAAATCAATCTCCCTTGCAGAGTTGTCGTTCGTTTTTCTCTTATACACGAATGTATGAGCCGTTGGTCGAGAGTGTGTTCAAATCAGAGAAGACAAAAGTATATATACTAAGTAGATATATATTTGTTACTGTATAATTTCTCTAATAAGAAATCATTAATGTATATGAACAGAATATATAGCAAATTTCCAATGAAAATTTACACGTATTTGTCATAGGCGTCGGAACCGGGAGGGGGGGGGGCTACCTTTTTTCGTTGGTTAAGCCCCCCCCCCACTGTCAAATAGCCACCCCACTTTCAATTTACTTCTGACGTCTATATGTTTGTATTATCGTAATCGTTTCTGAGTTTATATCCATACAAATGTGATACTGTGGCCACGTGGGTAATCATTCGCCATCTCGGAGACACATTTATTATATGTTATTTATATCTCTGGCCATCTCAACGGAGGCAAAAAGCTCATGATCGTAGGAGCAACATTAATGTAACTACCCGATTTATTTTATCCCTCCTTTCTTTTATGCTTTTTTGAGGGGAACTGAAAGGGGGGGGGGTCAACTCCAGTTAGAATCACATCTTAGTGAAGTAGGCATTCTTTTTCCGCCAAAAATTACAATAACTACTATATAAAATTATAGACTCGAATTTTTGGCCTTTAATACCGATAAATCGGAAGAATATTGTCTTTTGTTTTATGTATTTTAAACATCATTGGTACTTGAAGATTACCAATTTGTTTTATTTTTTCTCAATTAAGCTTCTATTTTTATTACTTTTTCTATGTACTAATTCAAGGATATTACCTTAATTTTTATCAAAACAGACAGTCTTTTACAGATTATATACCTGTCTATTACCTGTGTATATATAAAGTATATTTATTAGCAGTGCTTAACTCTTTTATTGTTGAGGTCATATTTTGAAAAAGTTGAGACCTGCAGTCTCACCTTTACACCTTTACTTTAATCACTGATTGTGTAAAAATACCAGCTTAGCACAATTCTTCATTTTCATTACTTTGCTTGATATGTATCAGCAGTGTGCTCAACTCTTTGCTGTTGTCATATTTTCAATGAACATCGATCCATAATTTCTTTTATTAAATTTGTTTGGAAAGGTGAAATTTATGTAAGCTCCGCCTGATTCGAACTCAAGACTTGATTTATAGCTAACTGGTGGTCAAACCCATTCTGCACTACGCCGTTACGCAACAATTTTAAAAAACAAAAACAAAAACAAAACAAAACAAACACAAAAAAAAAACAGAATTATATTAACATTCATTGTTTATTTCAAAAATACCTTACAATATGAATGTGTCGATGTATCTATTTTGTAAATGTCCGATATGCACATGGATGCATTAATAACAATGTCAACCTGTGCACGCACGGGTCAAAATCTAGTTTTACATATAGAATTGTATGAGGCATATATCTTACTTAAAACATTGCCATTTAAATGTCCAAAAGTTACCTGGAGGAGTCTGATAATTACACAATAGGAGTTCAGGCATCAATAGTTTTCTACCTGAAACCATTAATAAGAAGACAAAAGAAAAGAGAAAGTTTTTTTCTTTAGATAGTAAAATCAGTGAGTGAACTCTTTTGTTTCATTCATTCAATGGCAGTCGTTTGGCTTAGCAGGAACTATGGACAGTGGTCAGGTGATGAAGGATTTCTTTATGATTCGAAATATTTTTTTTATTAAGTGCGTTTGACATTGATACAGATAGAGTGTTGGATGATATCTCCAAAATGCATTTAAAGTAAAAATGCGGATTTTTATCTAAAATTTTGATTGGATGATATAATGAAAATCTTGGGTTTTAAAAGTGTGGTCATTGGCGAACAAACCTCGTTAAATGAAGAGATTCGCAGACTGTTTCTTAATCAGAAATGGATTTAAATTGGCTTATTCACAGTGATGTATCGAAAATGCTTTGCAAAAAACTGAATGGAAAGTGTTACTTTTGAGGAAGGTTAAAACTCCAGTTTCTTCTTGGGTTTGCTATTCTTAACAACTTAATTTCCTCGCGTGCCCTTTCCCTGAATTTTTTCTCCCTCACTTTTTTTTCTGGTTTCTGAACAAATTAAACCTTCATCTCACTCTAGTTATTGTTTTTTAACTACTGTCCGATTTTGTTATCACTGTCGTCCGATAATATATTATTGGACTGCTAATCATTATTATCGGACGGATACAGGTAAATTTTTAGACTGCAAGAACAAAGGCATGACGTCACAGCAATGTTTTAATTTTTACATATAGAACAGCATTCGGCATATATCCATTACATATATATATTTCACTTATTTATCTATTTTGCTTTATATTTATCAATGTTTCAAACAAAGATTTCTTAAAATTGACATGCAATTAATTACATGGGGGAAAAATCAATTAAATGTTCTCACAATTGAAACACCTAATTCCAGTGTAACCTTTTAAGCATCCATCTATACAGGTTCCATTTACATGGTGACATTTTCCCCTGTTACAGTTAGTACTACAACTTTCATAGCAGTGTTGTCCGAAGAATCCACTAGGGCAAACTATTAGAGTAAAAAATGAATGAACATTATGTTAGTTGTCTGTTTGCTTTACGTTGATTTATGAATTTCGTACTCTCTTAGGGACGACACCAATTGCGTGTGGGAAGCTGCAAATCGGCACATATAGCCATAAATCATTGAGGGATATTTTTTGTGCCAGCATCTACTGCGACAAGGGACCTCAGTTAAACGGTTTCATCCGAACCAAATATAATACGAGCTCTATATAGTCATGTTAACGGGACATTGAAAAATATATCAATATATTTAAGAATATTTACCCTTATTACAGATATTTCCAGAATATCCGGCATTACAACCAAATTCACAGAATCCATTTTCCATATTACAGAAGGTGCCATTCAAACAATGGCCACTGCAGTTATGAATGCATCCAGAACCATAGGTTCCATCTTTACATTCTGCAATTCGTTCATTCAAAAAAATATATTTTCTGTACTTTTGTGACAAATAGGAGTACATATGCATTACCAAGGTTCTACTGAATAGAGACGATTTCAATATTACTGATATAAGTGGTCAAAAAACATCTTTGCAATTTTTTGAATAAATTGTTGTTAATAATCTGCATTTTTTTTTTTTTAGTACAAAATGCATAAGAATTTAAATTTATAATTAGAATTATAATCCAGAAGTCATGTTGAAGAAATATATAAATGTACCAACGTATTGGTTTCAAGTATATGCAAATTCTTGTTTCACATTCTTAAAAGATATGCAGTAAACATTTTTAAATCTATTTTCATGACATTTGACAAATTAAAATAATTACTTATAAATTGTAGATTGTTTAGTAAAAAAGGAATAATTTTCACTGATATTTACTTTGAACACACTGCTTCCCAATCCATCCGGCTGCACATCCTCCATCACAATATCCGGTCACGTGGTTACATGTAGCGTTTCCTTTACAATGTCCTTTGCATTTACTTTTGCACCCTACACCATGCCATCCCCATGGACATTCTGTCATTTGAAATGGCATCTAACATATATTATCAGCATTACATATTTTTTAATGCAATGATGAACGTATTTGAAACTGCAATCTTTTTAACAATAAACTTTTTTTTAGTTGTTAGTTTTAGAATTTATATTGCAGCTGTTTCAGAAAAGAAATACATAACCCGCGTTAGCATGTTATGTAAATTTTTTTTTCTGCAATAGCTGCAACGTTTATTCCCATACTAAAAACAAAAAAGACAGTTTATTGTTTACATTTACATCTGAATAAATGACTAAATAAAGTAAAATTAAGTGCGTTAAATAACGTATTATTGATATGTGTGTCATTGTATATTTTATTGATGCAAGAGCCACTGCTAAAGAAATCTATACAGGTGGCTTGGTTAGCGGCGTTTACCGATGATTAACGACCGTGGTTTTCTGAAAAAATACATGTATTCAGTGGATGGAAATATTTCATACTATCATACCTTCTTCGCACATTAGTCCCAAGTATCCAGGCGCACATCCCACACATGTTCCGTCGACAATATTACACCATTTTTCTTGACAATTTTTTGGACAGGGTATACTACAATTACTTCCATAAAGTCCAGCTTTTGAACACCCTTATTATTATTACAGATAATTATTCATTAATATTTTGCAATGTATTTTTTCAGCACTTTGACAAACAAGTAAAAAAACATCTGTTCCTGTGATAAGAAAAACTTTGTGAACTTTTGTATGAAATGATAATTGTATTCTTAACATCATTTTAAGGTAGAAAAATTAACATTTCCCATTAAATAGCAGTAATGATTGTTATTGTCATTGATTATTTCTCTAATTTTTCCAGTTATCATTTTCTATTCCATTATCCCGACCTCTGATTATTAGCATTGAAGGTAAGAATTCAAAGTGCTAAAAACTGGAAAGTACTAAGAGAAAATTATCGATACTTGGTACATGTAGTTTAACTTTATACCTAGTTTAGGAATAAAGAGTTTTTAATCCTATAATCAAATGAAAAAAAATCATTATCATTCTTTTGACAGAAGCTTTTAATGTTAAGAGTAATAGTCATGATATTTTAACCTTGTTTTCCTCGTGTTATTCAAATTTCACATAGGAAATTGAAAAGTAACACAGCAGAAAATCAAGATAAAAGAGAGAAGAATGTAAACTTTCCAAGTGGAGAAATTCTTATTTTTTGGACTTTTCTAGAACTAACGCCATATACAACTGTACTATAATGTGTTTAGATTGTTTTGTTGGTCGGACGACATGAAGCAAGATGTTATATAATTAAAGGTCGCTTTTTCAATCACATTTGATGATGATGTTGCTTCTCATAAAATATTGAAACACATTATCATAATGCAAAATTTATTAACCAAGCAATCGGATGCTTTGAAAAAGAACGAGCATAGAGAGAACCTTATGGGGTAATTGCAGAATAGAATAATATATTGTTCAAAATGAGTTGTTTGAAACATTTAGATATAAAATGAAACAAATTTTGAAAACCTTGTACTTTTACTTCACATAACTCAGTAAATGTGTGCAGACTTGAGTATCCTTTGGGGTAAGTAACTCCATCCAGTCTTTCATTGTAATAGATGACGTAACGACCATATCCAAAACATGTTATATTAAACGCCAAGGGAGGTAATGGAAGTGTGTTCTTGTAACAAAGTCTACCGTCATCTTTATAAGGGGTGTTGGATATATAAAGGGAAAATCCAGCAAAACGACCTCTTTGCCTCATCTCTGAAATATGTATGTGATATCAAATCATTGTACAACAAATGAATGTTTTGTTTGATTATTTCTGATTTTACAAGTTTTTTTTTTTCTTTTTTCCTGCAGAATTGTTTTGGAAAATTTATCAGACTGAAAAGAAAATGTCATTCAAATGTATCAAAAATTACAAAATTATATTTACGCCATTGGAGAGACAAATAAGCAATAATTCCCTTTTACTCAGGACCACTTGTAGACATCGTTCAAGAATGAGGTTTAATTCCTTCAATCCTTCTGATTTGTTACTCACATCCTTGTCATTACTAACGAAATCAAGTAGTCACAAATGACAAACATTGACATTTGTGACTTGTTATAAATTTGTAACAAGCACTGTAGGAATGCTTCCGCAATGTCTGTGTGAACAGCTGTGCGAAATTGTGAGCCTCTTTTGGTATAAAGTACATGTATTAGGGTATAAGGGAAATTGTGTTTTTATAATTAAAAAATATACGAGAATGACGATAGGCAACAAGTACAAAAATGATATACTTTGCTCAAAGCATGGTGGACAACATAATTATACTAATCTACCTGCAAGGTAGATTTTAAAGATGCAAAATAGCATTCCGATATAAGTGTTTGTAAAAAAAAGTAAAACATGTATAAAATGTACAAAGTATAACAAAATACACATAGCGACACAGAAAAAAAAATCAAAACAAATCTTGAAATAATACAACAATATCAAACCATATTATATTCACTATAATCACCCTTATCTTTGTAGTCTTTAAATTCTACACTGATGCAGTAAATGCTGTGAGTTTCGCCAAGATCTAAGATCCACCACACTGTTTTTTCTTGAGAAGTTGGACCAATGTCGATTGCCTTCATGCATGTGTGTCTATCTCCATCAACTGCTTTGTCTGCACCACAGGGAGGATAACATAATGAGGTCATGGACTGTGTAGCAGTTTTACCTTTTGATAATTCATCTGTGAAAAATGAAAACTTGAATATGAAAAGAATGCAATTATGAATGACGGACGCCTTGTCAGATGTACATGTAAGGATAAAGACAATTTAATGATGGGAAGAAGAACAAATTTTAAAAAGCTACAATAAGCATAGCGAATATATCATGATTTCGGTATCAGCGAAATTTTCTGGATCCTTAGCAAGTTGCTAGCACTTCAAATTATGATTAAAAGTTAGGAAGAGAAATTAGGTGAATAATATTTTTTCCAAAGCACTGTATCCAACGGTATAATTTTATCCTTATGATGATACAAGTTAATAGTTGTCATTGTTGTCATTATGGTAGTCGTTATCGTCAGCCACATCAGCTTCTGGTGTCAACGCATTGCAAGTGTTTTGAGGAGTTATTGCTCTTATATTATAACATTTTGTGATAGATAAAACACTGTGTATTAAAACATATTTCGGGCATATTTGTCTCCATCAACAATACTAACAGGGAAGCAATATTGGTCCAGAAAAGCAAAGTTCTATGAAAATAATGTCTTGACATGCAGGCTATACAAATTCCATAGACATCTTTTTCGTCGACAAAAACTATCAAGTAACCATTAAAGGAACAATTTTCAAAGTGAATTTTATTCCAATGTTGATCAACTCGGATTCATAAGCCAGAATTGCTTAGTAGGCAATTTTGTAATTGGACTTTTATTATGATACGGCAAAAATGTGCAAAAACAGTTATAGAAAATATTTATATCAAGTATAAATAATTATTTACTGAATCTTTTTTTCAATGTATGCTTAATATAAGATCGGACAACTTTCATGGAAACACAAACATAACAAATCAATGTTCGTTATATTAACCTTTTTCATTATATTACACTTTTATCAATTAAACTTTCACTAGAATCTCAGGTATATTTATATCAAGTTATAAATCTAAAATCACATTAATGAAAACCTCTCAATTTTGTTTCTAGTAATAAAAAAAATCCCCATCTTTAATTATCACTGTATAACTATAAAAACAATTGGCTTGAAAGTTACAACCTGTGTATCTTATGTATACTTGTCGCTACCAACGCATATTATCTCTTAAGAATATTGTGCGTTAAGGTTTTTTTTTTCTTCTTTTCCAGCAGAGGTCTTTGGGCTACAAGATTCCGGTCCTTGTCTTTAAAGTCTTGTAGTTTTCCAGTGATGGTTCTCTTATTACCTGACCGGCGAAGTCCATTACGATGAATTCAAATGAAACTGACGTCAAGATTTAGATGATCACTAATGCGCTTGTGAACTTTTGCATTAAGATTCTCGTTTTCCTCTTCTGCCAGATTATGGATTAAAATGTTATATCCTATAGATCTTCCTATCAGGTCTACAATCTCATTTTCTTGTGTCACTTTCCTGTACAAATTTACAACGATTGATTTTAACAGTTGAAGTTCCTTCCGGAGAGCAATACTTTCCATTATTAGAGTTTCAATTTTAGACTGATTGTCTTCTTGCTGTTCAGGGATGTATCTTATTCTGTCATTTAGACAATCTTCATTCCATAAATCCATTCTGCATGTTATTGATTCATGCAGTGTATCGAAAGAGTCCATTTTTGCCGTTATAGCCAAAAAGAGGATAACGTCAGTTTTTCAAACATCATTTTCCCCAATTTATGTAGTAGTATTCATCTATCACCTACTTAAAGTGTTTATGATTCCCAGCTGATTAGGAATGCAAAAGTGTGTTTTGAATATGATCAATTTTCAAGCCAAGACAGACTTCTAGAAAATACTGGATTTTCCTCAATCTCGTTTCAATTCCTATTTTGCAGATTATAATTTTTGGTCCTTATGATGACGTTGCTTGCATATACAACCTATCGCTTTGTCGTAATTTGACTAACGTTTTTCATACAAACTCTTATGCCACCTTTTTATGCTATTTCAACTACTGATTACACATTTATCTGATCAAGGTTTATCAACGGATTTGATCAGTCCACAGGAGATGCTTATTACTCTTGCAGTGCAAAGGGATCCCATATCTGATGAATCGAAAGGTTTTTTTTCTGTTCGCGATTTGAATTATCAACAGGGTTTATGAGGTTGATTCCTATTCTTATCTTCATCTTTTGTCACAATGACATGATTGAATAAGTCTTCCAAGGATTTTTTTTATTTATGATGATACAATTGCAATATTATTGATTTCCTTAAAAATCTGCAGGGGTTATGGTTATGAAAGTGCAAAAAGTACAATGTAAAATACTTGAATTTTCCTAACAGCAACTGATTTCGCAGCTATGTTAAGGCTTCCCGAAGCTTTAAAATGCGCTCAAAACATAATATGTCATTGCGAGGTCGGTTTTAGTTTTAATTTATAAGTGTTGAACTTAAGTACTCCCAATTTATATAGAGGGTTTCCTCGGCTATATATTAACATATTTGCTATGATATCACATGGCTTTGTTGATCACGTGACGGTCATTTATAATTCTTTGAAGTGTTCCATATAAATCGCTTCGGCGCAGCTGATTAACACAATAATTATTAATATTTTGTTATATAAATAAACTCATCGTATCCTTGTGTATCCGAAATGTGCTTGGGAAAAGTCATAGTATTACTTAGATACAAAATATTTCCTGAGAAATTCAACTTACCTACAAATTTGAGGGTATTTTCCACACAATATCGTAATCTGTATTAAAACTAAGCCAACACATATTTTTCCCAAGCAAGATTCAGTTAGAGAACAACATCTTCTTACAGATTTCCACAAAAATTCTCAGATTAATCCTCATTAATCACCTGCGCCATACTCTTTTATACACAAAAAATAAATTCTACCTCCAACCACGGGTATAAAACAGAGTGCATTTCAAAAGTATATTTTTCATAAGCATTTTGAAAATGCTGAATTTTAATCAAAGGTAGGTAAGCGGTGTATTTTTAAATTATTCGGACATATAAGACTTAAAAAAACCTTTAACGACCCGTGAATTTTGCAATAGCTATCTAGCATTTTACATGCAGTTTGAAATAAAGTTTTAAGTTTATGACACTCTCCCCGTCATAACACCTCAAGTTTGCAGTGACTTGACGTTGTTTTCCGTTATGACGTAATATTATGGTAGTTCAGAGATGTACAGAGTGCACTGTGATATTCTACGGGAAGCCTTAACCTACCTGCGTTGTAGGTTTGTTTTGTTTTGTTTGTTTGTTGTTTAACGTCCCTCTCGAGAATTTTTCACTCATATGGAGACGCCACCACTTGCCGGTGGAGACCTGCAGATTTTGACCTATGCTCGGCACTCAGGACCATCGACCAGTAAGGGATCTTTTTCGTGCCAGGACCTACTGCAACACAGAACCTCGGTCTATGCGGTCTCATCCGAAGGACCGGTCTCCACGTTCCACAGTGGGATTCGAAGCCGCGACGTAAGGATCAACTCCTTACTCCGCGACTCTAGAGCAAACGCTCTAACCACTGCGCCACGCGGGCGACTCTGATTTGTAGGTAAATATGGATCTAAATTAGATTTTGACACCCGGAAAGATTAAAAGATTATTAGGAATAATTAAATAAATCGTTCTCGTGTTTGAAAAAAAGGAAGAATTTCGTTATGCTAACAAAGAAATGAAATATCCCGACATTTTTTTTATTTCAACAAATGCTCACGATAGATATCATTATATGTCCGAACATATATCATCTGTTTTTTTCTTGCCACAAGTTAAGCATTGATGCAGGCATTTGCTCAGTTAATACATGTAACAATGTCATTGTTCAGTATCGAACAAGGAAGGAATGATTTCAGCTAGATTTTAAATGTCTGATCTTGCAGTTGACATTGCTCAATATTAGGATTTTTAGATTAATACATGTATATCCAAACCAAGGAAGCTATAATAAATAATCTGAGGGTTTTGTTCAGTATTGTTCAAAAGAAAGTCATATGTATTTCAAAAGGTATTTTTTACTTGCCGTATGCAAACAAATGAAGTATTCCAGTGAAAAGTATTAGTATTCCATAACTAGTATCCATGTCACCTGTTGTTTTGAGTAAACTACAGGGGAAGTTTTTAAAATTCTGAATAAAAGTTAAGTATAAATATAGTCTTTATTTGCAGTATTACTGAAGGAGTTTTTTTTTACTTCCTCATATATGTACATGTATTTATTTAAAAACTTTTCCGTTTGCCCATTGTATGCGTACCTTTCTTCAGTGCTTGGATTTTAACAAAAAGAAGTATAATGTATACGGATATGAAATTCACAATTTTGGAAGAGGCAACCCTGCTCAGCATAACTATGTTCTTAGTTTATTTAATATCCAGGAGCAGAGAAGAAGATTTTCAAAGAATTAATGCATTTTCACTATATAATCAATAGAGACCCGCCCAAACACCTGAACCCCTGACCCAGGGGCCATAGAATTAACAATTTCTGAAAAGGCAGCCATGCTCATCATAACTATGTTTTTAGTTTATTTAATACCAAGGAGCAGAGAAGAAGATTTTCGAAGAATTAATGCTTTTTCACTATATAATCAATAGAGCCCCGCCCTAACACCAGAACCCCTGACCCTGGGGCCATGAAATTCACAATTTTGGAAGGGACACTCTTGCTTATCATAACTACATACTTAGCTACTTTATTTAATACCCAGGAGCAGAGAAAAAGATTTTCAATGAATTAATGCATTTTCACTATATATCAATAGAGCCCCGCTCTAACACCAGAACCCCTGACCCAGGGGCCATGAAATTCACAATTATGGAAGAGGTACTCTTGCTTAACATAACTATGTACTTCGTTCCGCGGGTACGTTAAGGCAGTACACAGATCATATTTCTGTGAATTTAGACTTTTTCCGTAAAATTTAACATTGATAAATCGGAAAAGCCAAAGAT